GGACTTGCCCAGTCTCAGCGCGTGCGAGCGTGCGCACGTGTGCGCATGCACATGGGCACATTGTGTGTGGGTGTGTGTATGGGTGCATGTGTTGCATGGGTGTGTGTGTGCATGGGTGTGCATGGGTGCACGTGTGCACGGGCGCATCATGTGCATAGGTGCGTGCGTGTGCATGGGCACATTGTGTGGGTGTGTGCGTGTGCATGTGTGCATGGGTGTGCGTGTGTGCATGGGTCCACACGTGCATGCACGTGTGTCGGTCTGGGGCTTGATCTCAGGGCCTGCGTACTGTCCCCGAACTGTTTTGCTTAAGGCTGCTCCTCTGCTTGTGGCTCACTCAACTCTCAACTCCACTTCCAGCTTTTGGGCAGTTAAGTGGACATTCACGAACTCGGTGCTGGTGGCTCACACCTGTAATCCTAGTGATTCAAGACGCTGAGGTCTGAGGATTGTGGTTCAAAGCCAGGCAGGGCAGGAAAGGTTGTGAGATTCTTCTCTCCAATGAACCACCAGAAAAACCAGCTGTGGCTCAAGTGGTAGAGCGTTAGCCTTGAGCTGAAGAGCTGAGGGACAGCGCCCAGGCTCTGAGTTCAAGCTCCAGAACTGACCAAACAACAACAAAATGAGTCCTCTGCCGGGGGAGGGGCCGCCCTGGGACTCCCCACAGTGCTGACTTTGTCACAAGCCTGCAGAGGGTGCGATGGCAGTGGCAGCCCTTCCTGCTTGCCCAGGTGAGTCCTGCCCTGTCCTCTCTTGTCCCCCTTCCTCTCCTGGGTCCTGAAGGTCACCAGGCATGTGAGTGCTTTCCTCTGGGGTTGTGGAGGCAAGGATGCCAAGGATAGGAGGCCCCTGTGCAGGGGTTACGGGGGCCACGGACGGACCCCAAGGTGACTCCAGGAGAGAGGAGCCCTGCTCCTGCGGGCTTCACACCTGGCTGTCCCTGCTCTCAATACCCTCCATACGCACCTGGCCACTCTTCAGGCCACGGCCACGGAACACAAGGCTGTGGCCGGGTGGCAAAGCCAGACACTGCTCCCCCTGGGCGTCACGGTGGTTTCCGTACGTTGGTGGTGATTGCATAACCTTCACCAACTGCCATGCCGGGCATGTGTTGCAACCTGGCCTGCTGTGCCACACATGTTGGCTGGCAGGGTGGCCTGCCCACAGAGACGGAGGAAGTCTGAGAGTGAGGTGAACGGCCCCACCCCAAACCTGTGCAGACCACGCCCCGGACTAGAGCTGACTGCTCCTCCCTGTGCAGACCACACCCAGAGCCCTGAGCTGACTGCTCCTCCCTGTGCAGACCACACCCAGAGCCCTGAGCTGGC